TGCAGCAGCATGCTCACCAAGCCGCTGCTGCCCAGCCAGGTGCGCTCTATGTGCGGCTGTGCGTGGTGTGTGTGCGGGTGTGGCGCATGCGTGGCGGGATGCCTGCCCTGCCAAGCGAGCCGCCTCTGTGTGTATCCACAGCTGCCTGCCGGCCTGCATTGGTTGAGGTCGCCTGCCTGCTCCCGCGCGCCTCCCCTCCCCTTCTCCCGCCGCAGATTGCGCTGCGCATGGCTGTGGAGGCGCACACGGTGCACGGCGCCGCCGGCACCGCGCTGCAGCAGGCGGTCCTGCGCCAGATGGGCGCGGTACAGCGCAGCTACCAGGCGGCTGCCGCGGCGGCCGCCGCGGCGGGCGTGGTGGACGAGTGAGGCGGGCGCGGGGCGCGGCTGGGCAGAGTGCTGCCCGCCGCCGGGCCAGGCGCGGTCGCCCTGTGCGAGAGCGGCGCAGGCATCGGCATGCGAGCGCCAGCCAGGCCGCGCAGCAGCGGCTGTCTTCCACACGCCCCCTCGCCGCCCTCCACGGCCCCCAGCCTCCGGCAGCGGCCGCCAGCCCCCGATGGCGGCAGCCAGCAGCAGCAGCGGGCGGGGGGGCGGGGCAGCTGGCGGGCGCCGCAGCCGCGCCGGGGCCCCGTACCCACCGCCCCCAACCAACCCAACCCACCGGACCCCCTGTGCCCTCACTCGGATTGCTCCCTCCCTCAGCAACAGCAGCCATCAGTCCAGCAGCTTTGCACGGTTGCTCATCGACGTTTTCCATTTAGCATGCTCCCGGCGATACGCCGCCATGCCCCGGGTCCCCCCAAACGACTTCGCCCCCCTTTTTTCCGCAGCAGCAGCAGCAGCCCGTCCCCGCACAGGATTCATCTTGCATGCACTTCCTGTCCGCACGTCCACGCCGCCGGCCGGTGGCAGCAGCAGGGATGCCGCCGCCCTTCGCTGAGGCCTCCGCGCCGGCTGTAACTCACAGCGGCCGAACATTAAACAAGGCAGGGAGGTGGCAGGCAGGGTGTCGGCCCAGCCGGTGATTGTGTCAGGGGTTTGCGGGTCTTACAGGGGAGCCAGAGACCGCAGGGAGCAGCGCAGAACAGGAGCGGGGAGCAGGCACGGCAGGAGAAGGGAGAGCAGATATGGCAGGAAAAGGGCGCTGCAGCACGGAGGTGCCCTGCGTAGCTATGCCTCCCCTCCGCTCCTCTCCCGGCACTCCCGTGAGGCCGCCCTTCAGCCCGCCGCGCCCGCCGGCTCCTCGCTGATTTGGCGTGACGACGTGAGCGGCCGCATGGCGCCGTGCAGCTTCAGGTAGTTCCCTGCAGTACCAAGGAGGGTACCATGCAGTACCGAGGGCAGCCAACAGTTGGGACAAGGGGCCAGGGCTGGGGAGCTCAGGGTGAGCTCTGGGCTGCCAACAGAGCGGCCAGGGCTAGAGCGAGCAGGAGGGTCGTCAGGCTGGTGAACGCCAGCAGCAGGTGGCGACAGCGGCGGCAAGGGCGGCAGCCGCGGCAGGCCCACCCACCACACGCGTTGCAGAGCAGGTGGCGCGTGACCGGGTGCCGCCGCCAGTTGGAGGTCTCGGTGGCGGCGCAGTGGGTGCACTCTCGGTGTCCCTCCGCGCCGGCGCCACGGCTCGCCAGCTTGATGGGCCGGTCGGTGCCGTTGAGCTTCTTGTACTGCCCGCATGCGCTGCACAGCACGGCGCGCGTGTCGGGGTCCCGCCGCCAGCTGCTGGTGTTGGTGGTGCCGCAGTTGGAGCAGGCCTTGCCGGCGCTGCCCCCCGCAGACGCCGCGCCTGCAGGCAGGAGGCCGCGGCAGGCGGCACAGGTCAGCAGGCCGGCCGGCGCAGGCGGCCCTGCTGCAGGCCTGGTTTGGGTGGGGCGCGGCACACGGGTGGCTCCGCAGCAGGCGGCAGAGCGCCTGGCTGGCAGCCGGCAGGCGGGAGGCAGTGCGCAAGCGCGGGACAGCAGCACAAGGCTTCGCCGCCCCGGCAGCGGCACGTTGTCAACATGATTCCAAACTAAGGATGTTTGGCCATGAAAGTGTTGCAGGCGCACCTTGCGTGCCCTGCGTGGTGCGGGTGCCCTGCGTGCTCTCCGCAGGCGCCCCGCCGGCGCTGCCGTCTGTGAGGCGCGACGCCGAGGGCGGGCGCAGCATGCTGGGCGACAGCGGCTTGTGTGTCCGAGGGTCCCTGCAGGCCGGGGCAGGGCGCGGCGAGCGGCCAGGGAGGCGGCGTCTGCGTTTGGCCCACGCCACGCCGCCAACGCCGCGCGCTCCCGCTGCCCGGGCTGCCCAGCCCTCTCACGGCTCCTCCGCCCCAACCCCGGCCCCAGCATCGCCAGCCACACCGCACCATGCCACACCTGCTACGCCGCAGCCACGCCCCACACCACACCCTGCCCCGCGCGCGCCTGTAGCTGGCGTCTCGCGCGCGCCGCCCCGTACCCGCCGCCACCTCCTCCTCCCGCTCATCCTCAGGATCCAGCTCGCCGTCCCACATGCGCTGCGGGGAGCGGTCGGGGTCGCTGGCATTGGTGTCCTGAAGCTCATCCAGCTGCATGCCGTCGGGGGCTCGCTCGTGGAAGCCCACGCTGGGCGCGGCCGCCAGCCGCGACAGGCGCTCCAGGATGGTCTGCCTGCGCGGCGGGCGGCGGGCGGGGGGCGGGGGGCAGGGGCGGCATGGGGCAGGCAGGGGCCCGGCGCGGGAGCAGGAGGCAGGGGCTGCTTGGGTGAGGGGGCTGCTCAGGCGAGCGCTGCCCTGGCACGCGCACAACCGGGGGCGTGCTGGGGACATGCGCTGGGAGCAAAGGTGGTTTTCGCTATCTTATGTACAAAGTAAGAAATAAAAAGAAACCGCAGCCCACCTGAGGCCCTCCAGATACTCTGCTGAGTTCTGGTCCTCCCACCTCGACGTCGGCTTCACAGTCAGCGTGTACCCCACTGCAGGGCGGCGGGGCGAGGAGCAAGGGAAGGGAGGGGACCACGGTGGAGGGGTGGGCTGAGGAGGAGCAGGCTGGGAAGGGGGCAGGGAGCTTCGCCGAGGGGCCATACCGCCAGGCCACCTACCCACCACACACACACACACACACCACGCACTCCACCATAAGCTCCTCCACTGCCAGTGGTAGTGTATGGTACCCCATACCAAACCGCACACCACGCCGCCTCACCTGGGCCGTAGTAGTCGTAGTATTCGTTGGGGGGCAGCTTCTCATCCATGTCCGCGCCCACCGCCAGCCCTGCACACGGCACCGCCGCAGCACATCGCACTGGCAGTCTGGGGTGCCTGCTCTGCCAGGCACGGCGCGGCAGCCTCCAGGACCACTCAAGCCTTCCAGGAACACCCAAGCAGGCGGCGCGCAAAGGGCAGCGGGCCCTCACCTGTTTCGTAGGCCCAGCAGCGCGCCACATTGATGATCTTGTAGCCTGCAGGACGGAGCGCAGACGGCAGCAGGGAGCAGGGCATGGGCGGTGGGCAACCGGTGATGGGCATGATGCGCCTACCACAGCCGAGCAGGCAGGCAGGCAGGCATGTAGGCGCTCGGGCGCGCGGCAGGCTCCCACCCACCCACACCCCACGCACCCCCGCCTCCCAGCAGCATCAGCGGCAGCCCAAATCCCTTCATGAAGTCGATGCATGCGGCGTGGCCGGTGCTGCTGAGGTTGAACACCCCCAGCCGGTCGCCCGCCAGAGAGTCGGTGCCTGCAGCGGTGGCGGGGCAGGGCAGGCGGGCAGGCTGGCAGCGAGTGTGGGCACACGGGAGCGTTTGGAGAACACGAGGCGGCGCCCGGCAGCCCCCCCTGCAAGCTAGCTATGCGCAGCGACAGCTACGCCTCCTTCACCCCACAGCCCCCACTGCCGCACTGCGCAGCGGCGGCTCCCTGCGCCCCACACCCGCCAGGCCTCTCCCCTCCTGGCCATGCCTGCCCGCCTGCTGCCGCCCTGGCCCCGCAGCTCCATAAGCCGCTTGGCTCACCGCACTGCAGTACCACCACCTCTGGCTGGAACACCTCCATCACTTTGAGCATGACGGGCCTGAACAGCTGGTGGTAGGCCTCGTCTGCGCAAGCAAATGGACGGGTCGAGCGACAGGGCGGCAAGCACAGTGAGGAGGCGGGGTGGGAGGGGGCGTGGGACGTGCGCGTGGCGCGTGGCGCGGCGGGCGGCAGGGCGGCAGGCAGCGGCGCGTGCAGGTCGGTAACGTTCTAGCCGGTATCGTGCCCGCCGGTACCGTGCGAGCCGGTACGGCAAGCGGCTGCGGCATGCAGCGCCCAGAGCAGGCCGCGGGCTCGGCGGCGGAGGCACGGGAGGCGGCAGGCTGCGGCGCGCGTCACCCGTGATGCCGTCCCGCAGCGGAACGTTGAGCGAGTAGCCCAGGCCCTTGCCTGCAGGCCGCGGCGGCGGCGGCCAGCCAGCGCCCGGCGTTGCCCCGGGTGCAAACGCAGACACGCACACACGCATGCGCATGCCCACGCACGCCAAACACCCCCGCATGCACACACACGCCATACCAACGCCGCCGCCGCCGCCGCCGCAGTAGCAGCAGCAGCAGCAGCAGCAGCAGCCGCCGCCCACCCTGGCCGCAGTTGTGGATGTCTCCTGTGTCAGGAAAGTAGCCGCCACCAAACTTGTGGAAGGACACGGTCATGACTCGGTCGGTGGTCAGGAAGGCCTCCTCCACGCCGTCGCCGTGGTGCACGTCGATGTCGAGGTACAGCACCCTGCAGGCGGTACGGGAGGCGGTATGGGAGGCGGTACAGGAGGGTGCTCTGCCGAAGGAGGCATGGGGCGCCTGCTTCTCGCGTGTGAGTGTGTGTGTGTGTGTGTGTGTGTGTGTGTGTGTGTGTGTGAGCGTAGTGGGCGAGGATGTGGAGCGCAGCGTGTGGTGTCGGGCACTGAGCTGGCGCGCCAGGCGGGCGCCAGGCGGGCGGTCCAGGCGCACGCCTCACCGCTGGTGGTACTTGAGCAGCTCCAGCACCGCCAGCACGATGTCGTTGAAGTAGCAGAAGCCTGCGGTCCATGTGGCGGTACCATATGGTGCTGAGGCGGGCCGGCCGGCAGGCAAGAAGGCAAGCCCACAACGCGGCCTCACGCCAGCACGCCTGCACGCCTGCCAGCCCTGCCCGCTCTTTCTAGAAAGCGCGCCGCCGTGTGCCGCGCCCACCGGAGGCCTCTGAGCGCTTGGCGTGATGCAGGCCGCCCGCCCAGTTGATGGCGATGTCGGCGGTCTGGTAGTTGAGCTTGACTGCAGCGCCCAGGCTGCCGCCCGCCGAGATCTGATTGTTCAAATATTATTCAACCAACGGGCAGAGAAGGGAAGGTAGAGTATGGTGAGCAGGCGAGGAGGCAGCGGGGCAGGAGGGAAGGACAGCAGGGGAGGCAGAGCGGGGAGGCACCGCGCGCGCGAGGCTGAGGGGCAGGGCAGGGCCGCCCCTCAGCAACATTGGCAGCGATGCATGGCGGCGGTACCGTGGCAGTACCTGGCAGTACTCGTACAGGCCGCTGAACACGGGGCAGTCTTCGTACATGTTGTACTCTCTTAGCTCTCGGGTGAACTGGCTCTGCAGGAGCGGCGAGACAGGCAAAGGAGGGTGAAAGGCAGCGGGCAGCTGAGGTGGAGTGGGCAGCGAAGGAGCGCACGACAGCGTGCTCAGCAGCGGACAAGGGCCAGGCGCTGGACGCGGGAGGCCGCGGCGCGAGGGCGGCGGCCGGACGGGCAGCGGGCGCGGCACCGGCACCGGCACGGCAAGCCCAGCGCTGTCGGCCCAGGCGCAGCGCAGCGCCAGGAGCAGGCGCACCAGGTTATCGGGGTTGATGTTTTGCAGGAAATCGACATAGTCGTCAGCGTGGAAGGCTTTCATGTCCTCGGCCCTGGCGCGGGTGGGGGTGTAGTACTGCAGCAGTACAGGATGCGGTACAAGAGGCAGGCCGATGTATGGGAGGCTACGCCGCAAGCAGCACGCTGCGCAGGCGGGGCGTCCAGGGAACCAGCGCAGCCAGCACGCGGAGCCTCATGGGCACGGGCGCTCCTGCCCGCGAGCCCCGCCGCGAGCCCCGCCGCTCTCACTTCCAGCTTGCTGTGCAGGCCGTAGTGCAGCACCAGGCTGTTGGTCATGCGCACGCGGTGCGGTTTCATGGGGTGGCCCTGTCCTGCAGCGGTACCGAGGACAGCGCCAAGGGGACCGCTCGCAGGCCGGCAGCAGCGGGCAGAGACACGCGGCGCCCGCAGCAGCGGCAACAGGGTATGCACCGGACGCAGCGGCCGCGGCGACGGCGCCCCCAGCGGCAGCACCCACCGTAGAAGAACTGCCCTATGTCGGGGTCATAAAAGTAAGACACCCGGTTCTTGCGCTGCAGAGCAAGAACGACGAAGAGGGCGGGGGCCGGATGTTGGCAGGGCAGGGTGGATGAGGCGCGCTGGTGCGCCGACAGGTTGGCAACACACAGGTTGGCACCACAGCACAGCTGGGTGACAGGACTACGGGCAACAGACCATGATGGCGGCTGCAGAAGCCAGGCATATACCTGCCCAGCAGCGCTGGACTGGGTGGCACGGCTGATTGCATTGCCACATAGAGCAAAGAGCAGCAGCCAGGCACCCAAGCAGCGGCGCGCTCACGCTGGGGCCGGCTGACGGCGCGGCGTCGGCCATGCTGGGCCCCTGCTGCGCCGTGTCCGGGCCTCAGGCCTGCCTCGATCTGCGGGGGGGGGGGGCAGCCACGTGTCCCGCTGTTTTGAGCGCCTGGCGGCAGCGCTTGCCCCCGCCAGCGCAGCGGCGGGAGGCTGCTCAGGCTGCGCTGCGCGCTGCCGCACGATCTGTCGGCCCCCCGGGCACGTGCGCCGCAACCAGGCGCTTCAGGGACCGAGGCGTCGTGCTGTGGGTTTGAGAGACTGGGGACACCTCTGCCACTGCCCGACGAAGAAGCGCGGCTGGCCAGGCTGTTGAGACAGCAATTGGGCTCACTTGAACGCTGCGATCACACGCTCTGGGTTGCTGCTGGCGCCAGGAGACGAGCGGGGGCAGGGAATGGATGGCGCTCAAGCGCTGCTGCCGTCGCTGGAGTTTTGACGACCCGATGGTGCAGGCATGGGAGTGGTAGCGGTGGGACGGACCGTCCGCATGTTTTGCCCCTTTCCTCCGCCCCCCTCAGGATTGAAGGGATGAAGGGCTTGCACCCGATGAGCGTTAACGACTGCCGGGCCCAGCCCTGCTGCATTGTCACAATGCAGTCTGCTGGAATTAATGGAAATGCCCTGCGGCTGCAAGGGCAGAGTCTGTCTCGACGCCAGCATGTGGCACGCCGGCCCCTCTGCCTCAGCGTGCGCGCTCAGCAGGGTCACAAGCATGAAGGACCACTTCTAGCAGGCGCCATGCCCTGGCGGGGCGCCCTCCTGGGGGCACTGGCTGCCACCAGCCTGGTGAGCTGTGGCAATGGCGCAGACGCGCATTGCCGCTGTCGGGCAGGCCAGCCGATCCGGTATTGCACTGCTGAGAGCGTGTGTCCGGCTGCACAGCGCTGTGGGCCTCAGCTGCGCCGCCGCCGCCGCTTCCTGGCCACCGTCGCTGCCTGCAGGCGCTGCACCCGTCGCCAGCCGAAGCCATCGCCCAGGGCAGCGTCAGCAGGCAGCAGGCCGAGGAGCTGCAGCGCCTGCTGGAGCAGCGCGGCGCCAAGCTGCCCAACCTCACCGCATCGCCCCAGGTAGGTTGCCTGCGCCGCCATCCGCCGCGCGCCGCTGGTCGCTCAAGCCCTGCATGCAAGCGCAGTCGTTGGCGCCGGTACATGGCCGGTGGCGCATGCTGCATCCCCTCGGCAGCCAGCGGGCATGACAAAACTCGCTGACGGATGGCGGCCACCTCAGAGGCAGATGTGTGCAGCACAGCAGCTGAAACGCTCACGCTCGCCGTCGCAATTTGATCTTTGAATGCCCTCGTCTGCGGCCCCAGCCGGCACTCACCTGCGGTGTCGTTCCTGCGCCGCCCCCTGCCCGCAGCAGTCCGCCACGCCGCAGGCCGCGGAGCCCAAGGCGGGCAGCGAGCTGCTGCAGGCGCTGCGCCAGCAGAACCAGGAGCTGCAGCGCGTGCGCCAAGAGCTGGAGGCGACCAAGCAAAAGGCGGCGGCCCCCTCCTCGGCGCCCGTGCTGGCCGCGCCGACGCTGACGGCGCCGCCCGCACCCGCGCCCGCCGTGGTGCGGGTGCCGCCGCCGCCCGTCGCCACGCCCGCGCCCGCGCCAGCTGCCGTGGAGGAGGAGGAGGGGGAGGAGGGCGGCAGCGCCTTTGGCGCGCTCAACTTGGTGGGGATCCTGGCCGCGGGAGGCCTGGCTGGCTACCTCAGCCTGCAGAAGAAGGAGGCACAGGAGACGGAGGCCGAGTACCAGCTCAAGCTGCAGTCGGGTGCGGCGCCGCACCGCCTCTGCCCGCAACCGCCGCTAGCGCCTGTCACTCTCTCCGTTGTTGGCTGCCTGCCCGCTGCACCCCGTGTGTTCTGCTCCTTTCTGGCAGCCCAGAGCAGCGTGGCTGGAGCTGAGAGCGCGGCGCCGTACCGCCGACCGAAGCTTGCCTGCCCGTGCTGCCCCTGCTGAGCATGCTGTGGCGCCTGCCGCCTGAGCCGCCGCCGCCGCCGCCGCGTGGCCCTGCCGCAGAGCGGAGCACCGTGGACGAGCTCAAGTCTCAGCTGGGCAGCGTGAAGGAAGCTGTGGAGAAGGAGCAGGAGCTGTCGGAGAAGCTGCGGCGCGAGGCGGCAGCCGCCGCGGAGTCGGCGCAGCGCCAGGTGTGTGCGTGGGCCATGTCCTGTGCTGCGCCGCTGCCGGACTCCTCGCCTGACGTGACGCTCACCCTCCCTCGCCCTCGCTGCCACGCCTCGCACCACCCTTGGCGGTCATACCGCGCCGCCGTGCCGCCTGCCGGTTGACTGGCATGCGCACCTGGCCCCGCCTCCCTGCCTCCCTGCCGCCCTGCCGCCCCTGCCCGCAGATCGACCTGGAGCGTGAGGCCAAGGCGGCTGTGTCCAAGGAGAAGGCGCTGGTGGAGCGGGCTCTGGAGGCGGAGCAGCGCCTCAAGGACGCCGTGCGCCAGGTGGGGCGCGCCGCGTGGGCTGGCGCGGGGGCAGGCTTCTCAGAGTGGCAGCTTGTGAGAGGAGCAGGAAACTTAAAAACTAAAACAAGCTGCGCCCATCATTCCTTGCTTCCTAAATTGACGGCATGGCTGCGCCGAGCATGCTACCTCCTTTGGTGTGGCCTCGGATGCGCCTGGGACCTGGGCGTGGGCTCTGTGCCATGGCCCTCGGCTGCATGCCATGCCTGCGGCTGGCGGGAGCGCCTCCCACCCTCTGTGGCAGCAGCTGATGGCGCGGCGCCGGCTGGCTGCCCCAACCCTGCCCCGCGCGCTGCCGCAGGAGGTGGCGGCCACGGCCGAGGCGCTGGAGGCAGAGCGGGCGGCCAAGTATGCTGCGGACGAGGAGGCCAAGCAGCTGCAGCGCATGCTGGATGAGGCGAGCGCCTGCCTGCTGCTGGCTTCCAGCCGCTGCGTGATGTTGCTCAGGCCTCCGATGCGGGCAGGCTGGCTGCGGCCGCTGTGTGCTGGGCTGGTGCCGGTGCTGGCCCCCAGGCGGCGCTGGTTGCTGCTGCTGCTGGCGATTCAGCAGGTGCTTTGGGTGCTCCCGCTGCCCTACCAACCTGCTTCTTTCTTTTTCCCTCCACCTGCTCCGCGCCAGGTCAGCAAGTCGTTGACCACGGAGCGCGAGTTTGCCAAGAAGCTGGGCCAGCAGGCCAGCCAGACGCAGGTGGAGCTCAAGGCCGCGCTGAGCAGCGCCGCTAGCCTAGGGGCGCGCAACACGGCGCTTGAGGAGGACCTGCAGGCACGCTAAGGGCGCTGCGCTGAGCACGCTGTGCTACGCTGCGCTGCGCTGTGCTTCGCTGTGCATGTGCTGTGCATGTGCTGTGCTCACCCGCCGCGGCCGCTGTGATTTGTTTCGCGTCCGCACGGCTGGGAACTGCTCGCCAGCTGACACCCCCTTCCCCCTTGTCCCCTTCCCGCTGGCCTCGCTCCCCGCAGGACGAGCAGGAGCACGTGACGGAGCTGGAGGCGGCGGCGGCAGACCTGGAGGCGCGGCTGTCGGCCGCCAGCGAGGCGGCGCAGAAGCAGAATGCGGCGTACGAGCGGCTGGGGCGGGAGAGCATGACCCTCAAGGATGCCCTCACCCAGATGAAGCAGCGGTCTGCCGAGATGGCGGTCAAGGCGCAGGTCAGGAGGGCGCACGCCGGGTGGTGCTGGGGGCGGTGCAATGCACAGCGGCACGCAGGCCATGCTGACGCGGCATGATTAGGTTGTTTGTGCGCGGCAGCCGGTTTATTTTTCGGAGAGTCGGGAGCGGCGCAGAGGCGCCCTGCGCTCGCCCTTCCCTGCGCGCTCCGCCCGCTGCCGTTGCGCTCGCAACCTGCCGCCGCGGGTTTTGCCACCTCCCGCCCGGCCGCGCGCAGAAGCAAGCGGAGGAGGCGGCGGCGCAGCGGGCGGTGGCAGACGCGCAGTTCAAGGACGTTTCGGAGCAGCTGGACTCAGAGCGCAGCCGTGTGGCCAACCTGGAGGTACGGGGCCTGCCTGCCTCTCTTCCCCCCAGGCTGCCGCTCAGCGACTTGCCGCTAACTCGCCAAGGGGGCTTGCGTCGTGTTGCCTGGCTGGGCGCCGCCTCTCGCTGCGGCGTGCCCAGGCCCGGATCCCGCACGCCCGCCTGCCTGCCTGGGCATGTGCTGTCGCCGGCGCCAGCGTTTGCCCTGCCCCACCCTCCTCCTGCTCGTCCATCCGCTCCTACCACCTGCGGATGCCTGTTCCGAATGTGGAACACACGTTGTTGCCGTGGACCAGGCTGTGCCCGTGCCTGAGCAGGCAAGCCTCTGCCCCCGCTGCCCCTCCCTGTCGCCGCAGGAGGAGCTGGTTGAGACGCAGTCCAAGCTGGGGCGCAGCGCTCAGGAAGTGGAGCGCCTCAAGGGAGAGCTGCGCACGGCAAACGCGTCGGGTGAGGGCGGCGGCGGCCGTGCAGCAAGGGCTTCGCACACGCAGCAAGGGCTGCGCGGGGTGTGGCCCTAGGAGCGGCAGGCTGCCGGATGCCGGGCCAAGGGCCGCTGCGGGGAGCCCTTCCTGCGTGTGCGGCTCTGGCTGGCGCGGCCGAAGCCTGCCGCGCGCCGGCCGTGGCCCCTGCCGCGGTCTGCCCAGCAGCGCCCGTTTGCCCGGCACAGCGCCTCATGCTGCGCCTGCTGTGCCCTGCCGCGCCCGCTGCGCAGTGGAGTCTCTGAAGAGCGACGTGTCTGCCCTGGAGCGCCAGGTGGCGGAGGCGGAGAGGGCGCTGGCAGAGGAGTCGGCCACCTCCACGGGTGAGCCGCAGCCGTTTGGAAAGCTGTGTGTGTTTGTAGCTTTTCTGTTTTGAAAGCAACTGCTGCTTGCCCGCAGCAGCAAGTGCTGTGCGGCAGGGTGCTTTGCGTGCGTGCCTGTGCGGGCGGCAACACGCGTGGTGGCCCAGGGGGGACTGGCGGTTGTGTGGGCAGATGGATGCGGGTGGCGTGCTGGGCTTTGCATCATGCGGGGAGCGCCCTGGACCCATCTCTCCCCCCTTGCTCTCGCACTTCCCTCCCAATCCACCCCACCCCGCCCATCCACCTGCCTGCCCCGTCGTCCCACGCACACACGCGTGTGTCCTGCCGTGCAGCCGCGCGCGCCGAGGGCGTGTCGCTGCGCAGCGAGCTCGCCTCGGTTCAGAGCGAGCTTTCTTCCATGTCTAACCGCCTGGCCAGCGAGACGGGCGAGAGTGAGGCTGGCTGCCGCGGGCGCCCGCCTGCTTGCCTGCCCGCCCGCCTGCGCGCCTGCCCGGTTCCCTGCCTGCCCGCCCGGCTCCCCGGCCGGCTGTATGGGCAACCTGGCTGGCTCGATGCGTCCGCCTGCCCACCTCGCTCTGCTAAAGCAGCCTGCCTTGTTGCCTGCCTGCCTGCCTGCCTGTTCGCCCCGCGTGCCTGCAGAGGAGGAGCTGCAGGCGGTGATTGAGTCGCTCAGGCGCGAGTACGAGCTGGTGGGGGACCGCCTGGAGCAGGAGCAGAACCTGGTGCTGCAGCTCAGGTGAGGGGTATGGATGGCGGGCGGCGGCGTGGCACTCTGGCGGTGGTGGCAAGCGGTGGTGGGGGTGGTGGGGGTGGCATGGTAGTGGAGGGCTCGGGCCGCACCTGGCGCTGGCCTCTGCTGCCCGTCCCCCTCCCCATACTCTTGCCCTGCCAAGGGCACGAAACTGCTGGCGCCCAGCCATTTTATTCCTCATCCGTCGGCCCACCTCCTGCCCTCGCCCTGTCGCCGCCTGCAGGCGCGACAGCGCCGAGGTCAAGAAGCTGATGTCGGACCTGGAGACCAAGAACCGCACGCTGGCGGTCAACCTGAGGCAGAGCGAGGAGAGCTACAAGCAGAAGCTGGCGGCGGCCGAGGTGGGGCGCTGCGGCGTTGGTTGGGGGGTGCTTGCTTGCGCTGCTTGCTTGTTGCGGGTGCGTCCACACGGGTTCAGCTGGGCCTGCGTTCGCCCAACACGCTCAACACAGCACACAGCCCCTGCCCATCCACCTTACCCGCACATCCATCCACCCCTTTGTGTCATACACCCCTCCTTGCGCAGGTGGACCTGGGCAGCGCTCGGTCCAGCGTGGAGGCTGAGCGGGCCGCGCGCCAGGACGCCACCGCCGCCGTGGCCAAGCTGGAGAGCGTGATTGCCACGGTGCGGCAGGAAATGATTGAGGCGCAGGAGGCTTCCAACCAGGTGTGTGGCTGGGGGTGGCTGGGGGCAGGGGTGGGGTGGCTGGCAGTGGCTGTGTCAGGGATGTTTCATCGGCGCTGCGGGGCTGTCGATTCGCGTTCCCAAGCGCTTGGCCATTCGGCCCCGCCGCCAGCATTGCATCAAGGCATGCCCTCGGTGCAGCACCCCTGCTGCCGATCAGGGCCCCTCCTCTTCTCCCCCTCTTCCCACGTGCTCCCGCTCCCGCGTGCTTCCCTGCCTTCCTGCAGGCCACGCTGCAGCTCAACTCCGAGCGCTCGGCCCGCCTGACCTCGGAGCAGGCAGTGATCAAGCTGCGGGGCCAGCTGGAGGCGATTGCGCAGGCGGAGGAGGCGGCGCGCGCCCAGGCCGCCGCCTCGCTCAAGCACCTGCAGGGCGAGTACGCATCGGCCAAGGTGAGGCGGCGCTGCCGTGGTACTGCTGCCAGGTACTGCTTGGTAGTGCAGTCGTACTGCTGTCGCACCGGCAGAGACGGCCAGGGTCCAGCTGGCACGCGCTGGTGCCTGCCCTGCGGCGGCATGTGGAGGCGCCCCGCCCGCATCTCCCGACCTGTGCTCCCCTGCCCCCCACTCCCCCCTTCCGCCGCTTTCCACCCCACGCTGCAGACTCGCCTGAGCGAGATCCAGGCCGCCAAGGCCAAGCGCCCGCGCAAGGCGGGGCCCTCCAAGGGCGAGGCGGAGGCGGCGGCGGCGGCGGCAGAGGCGGAGAATGGGGTCGGCCACGCGGCTGCGGAGGCGGAGGGCGCAGACGCCGGCGCCTCGGCTTCGGATGAGGAGGAGGGCGCGGCCAAGGCCTCCAAGCGGGGCCGCAAGAAGAAGGCTGAGGTGCAGGCCTGATCAGAGCAGATGATGTCGGGCCAAGCTGGAAAATGAGAGCTGCGGGGACTGGCTGGGGCCAGGCCAGCGATGCGCCTGCTGAACAGTAGAAATCAGGGCCAAGCGTGCCCCTGCCTGCGGCGCTCAATTGGTGTGTGTTCGCTGATTTGCCTATCCCACTCTATTTCATAAAGGACCTTATCCCACAGCTCTCAATTTGCATGTACGTTCTTGCTGCCAATTTGCTTTGCTATGTTGCTTCCATCGCGCTGCGCTGGCAGGAGGCGCCGCCAAGCCGCAAGTCCTCGCAGCGGCGGCGGCCCCGGTTGATTGACTCGTGCGTTCTAAGCACCTCCTGTACAACAGCCGTTTATGACACTCAATGCAGCACTGTGTAGCAAGTGGTGACGGTGACGGTGGATGGAGGGCATTGCCGCCTCCGCCCCGCGACGCGCACAGCGTGCTGCCACTGCTGTCTGGTGTGCCTGGAGCTGCCTTCGCTGCACTTTTCCTCATTCCCTGGACTGTCCTATTAAGTTAGCGCATATATAGCATACAGCACATGCAAATCAGCAGTTCACCCATCCACAACAAACCAGCTCGGCTCAGGCGCCCAGGCGCAGGCAGGAGTTCTGCGCTGCGCTGATGGAGGCAGGCGGGCAGGTGACCAGGTCGAAGATGGGGGCCGTGTCCACGCCGGCGGCGGCTAGAGCATCCAGCAGCACGGTCGAGCACAGGTTGAGCGCCGTGCCCACGTCAGCCTCTGACAGCTGGGACAGGTCCACCTGCGCACAGGCACAGGCAGCAACGCATGGCCACTGGGGCATGTTCACAGGGCGTCAGCACACAGCCGCCGCGCGGCCCTCCAGCTGCCCTGGTTGCCCATGCACCTCTTGCGCTGGAGCGCTGTGCACCCTGTCCGCTGCCCCAGCGCTTCGTCGCACACACCTTGTAGCCCTCCGCTGCCAGGGTGGCCCGCACGCTGTCGGCCAGGGCGCAGGGGCAAACAGAGCAGCGCTCCTCCAGCTGGACTGTGGCGCTGCACGAGGCCTTGATGCCGCTGTAGTCAGCGCTGCAAAAGCAGGCAGCCATGTGCAATAGGGGAGCGGCGTTGGAGCGCTTCGCTGCCTCTTGCCCGAGCTTGCGCGGTGCATGTGCCCGCTCGTCTCCCGCGGCGACTCACAGTGCCGCCGTCTGGGGAGAGATGAGGCAGCGGGTCAGCCCCTCGCGTATGTCCCTGCCCTCAGGCTCTGGCGCTGGGGCTGGAGCAATGGCAGCGCCCGGCCGTGCGGCAGCAGCAGACGCCACAAGCAGCGCCAGGCACAGGGCGGCGGCGCTCTGGTGGCTAGCCATTCTCGCCTGGGGCACCTTCAACTGCGAGCAAGAGGGGAGTAAAGCTGGCAGGGGTAAAGCAAGCACGAACGCGGTTTAGGTACACGCAGCAGCCTTGGATGGGGCAGGCACCTGCACACGGGCTGGAAAGTAGGGGGCGCGCATTACAGGAGGTCCCAGCAATCCAAGGTGCTTTGCCTTGTCCTCTACTGCTGGTGCACTCCCCTGTTCACCCCAAGCCACCTCAAGAAAACCCCCACGCAAGCACCCCACCAACCCAGAACCAAACCACGATGTTGGGAGACCCGGCTGATGCGGAGGTGCTAAAGGAGCAGAGCAGGTGAGCTGCGGCAGAAGGGTGCAGCAGGGTGCAGCCACGCGGCGCATGCTGCCGTGCACCGCCACGCCGCCACCTTGACCCCC